CAACATTAATGTCTATATGAGCCCCAAAAGAGACTTACTGATAAAAACGTCTATGGATGATGAGTAACTCAATAATGAAGTACTTAAATTATTGTGTAAAAGCTCGCCGCTCCGATAAGCTTCGCTTCAGCTTAACGGAGAAAACACTAAGTCAAACTGAGCTGCCTCGTATGTATGCATTTATCTGTTTTCCGGTACACACCAATCAGTAGGTGTATGGATTCCGAGGAGCAGATACCATCAAGTCAAATAAAAAACTCTAATTCACCGTTGGCGAACCAACGATATAGAAAACAGGAGCATAAAATCAGCAGAAAGATAGTAACACATAAGAAATGGATGAAAGATTGTATAGGACTGGCAGTTGACACAATTATTTGCCACTTGTGTGCGTCTTCCAGCGCTGGATTGTAAAATTTTCTTCTTTAACACGCATCAAATCTTTCCTCTATCTCTTTGCCCTAAACAATGCATTCCAACCAAAGTCCAACAATATTTTCACATAAAAGAAGAATGCAATCAAATTTAGTTCAGTGGCACGTGATATAGCTCGCCATGAAACAGCATGTGCGTCGAGTGTAGTGAGACGGCAGCATCACAGCAGTTACGAGCCACGAACCGACAGCGTAGGCATATTCCATCACATGGAAAGGATTTTCCAATCAATCCGCGAAGCATGTTGCTACATAGACAGGAACACATCAAGGGATCTACACATATACATGCGTGCGGATATGCAAAGACCACAATTTAAAATGAAAAAGTGAAGCTGAACAGCTTTTCCGATAAGAAAACGAAAAAGTCCATCAGTTACCGATCAAATTAGACCAAGAAACAAGCACTCCAGATTGAACAAGTATGCGGACACACGGGAAAAATCAGCGGGGAATGAGTGTCTTTAAATTCCTGTGTTCAAGGAAAGGCTCACAGAAGATAAGGAAATGAGTTGGATTAGAAACCCTTCCCAGTTTACTTTTCTCTCTCTCTTTTTCCCAAGCCACAGTTGGTAGTCATTAGCCTCGATTCGGACAATGAAAACGCATGCATACCACGAATTGCGCTTCTTGCAGCAGCTTGTTTGCCTGCTGATCAGGCAGAAACGTGCAGTTGGTCAAGTTGGAAGAAGGCACACAAATGAGAGGCAGACGATTTTTATGTGTGTGTGTGTGTGTGTGTGTGTGTGTGTGTGTGCAATGGCAACCATGTAAACACGGGTATTACGAAAACGCGTACACAGACACACGCTCATGAGCGAGTGCATACGCATCCAATTTGATGATCCCCGTTCAGCCTTCGCGATGGTCACCAAAGTAGCGCACACTTGTTATGCTTTCAGGTACCGGCTTAAAAGCTTCTAGGCACACACGCTTAATCTCTCCGTCCCTGAAGAAGGGAAAAGGAATCGAGCTAAACTTGTGTGCTCTTATGTCCGATCCCGCACCCTTTCAGGGTTAAATACCTCGACAAACAATCAATGGTTCACATTTAACTCGCAGTTATTTGTGAGTCAAGATGTGTGTACATCTGCGGAAAAAGCACCCATTTAATATAATCTTTATACACAAACCTTAGTTCATTCACTTATCTATACATCCAGAAAGTATAAGACTTAAGTTTTGCTCTCGTTGGAGCTCATCAGTAGTGTGTATCCTCCACCCCGTCCGGTATTTGGATTCCAAATGAGTGCTACAACTGGGACAAATAGCTCAAACAGTCTCTGACTGAAACTGCCAATCTAAGTTTGCTCAGATATTATCAGTTCACTGGGCTCAACAACAAAAGGAGACACATTTGATCATTTGAAAGCCTCTCACAAAATCGATATTGTGTGACGACCAGATTGGCAATCTCATCTGATTTGCATTTTATTTCTGCTTTTAACAACCCAATTGATGGGTGATTGATTCATGGAAAGTCAGAACTATATGATCAGGGATCAATGAGGGTTTATAAAAGTACCATCCTGTAGATCTATTGCCATCTTTGTCATTCTTTGATTTTCTGATCTGAACTGAATGACAAGACTGAATTTCGTACAATTCGTCAAACTAGTCTATACTTGGTGCACTCTCGAATTGTAACCACAGTATTCTGATTATAAATATAGCTTAATTTTTTACTCACATTGATACAATTCTATGAAAAGGAAGAGATAACTCACGAAATTCATAAGTCTCGAAGACGTTCAGAAATTTCTATAATAAATATTTCAAGGAACTCAATAACACTGAGTGGATGAAGCATGCTTCAAGTTCCATGCAATGTCACCCTTATATCCGTCTGATAAAGCATTTATTTAGGTCCTATGCGTTGGTTTTCCATGATCAGTATATATGGAGCTTTGACATTGTTCTTCCTTTTCTATAATATTGCATCGCAGTTATTGTTTGCTATCATTCAGTATAAATACCGGTTTACTGAAACCAAAGCCCATATAAACAGAAATGAGGGTGGGAAACCAATATTTGGGCAAGTAACTCTTATGTCAGGGAGTTTAGAAATATAAATAATCCATAATGGTCACATTTTAAAATCGAATTATTTCCTACACTGATCCCTTGTAACAGACAATAAATTCAGAATGAAGTCAGTCAATGGAATGTGGTATGAAATGACTACACATAGAGGGGTTTCCAAGTTTTCAATCTTCCAAGCTGAGATGCAAATAATTGCCGTGCAAATTCGGTGTTTCTACAAGAAGAATCCAAGGCATCATACAAAATAATAAATTGAAGGAAACGCTTTGAACCGAGAAGGCTATCGCGAACAACTCAGGAGCATGTCCAGTATTGTGTTTCCCGACAAGGAGTATCACACGGACTCAGTCTAACATGACACGACGTGGTACTGCATCATGACCAAGATTTACGCATTCCTAGTTAAGGCAAATTTGCCTTTTTCCTACATCAAGCATTTCCAACATAAACGGTATTTGGACTGATGAAAGATACTGATTTCTGTGTTGAGAGCGGAAATAGATTGTGAAATTTAGGTTTTTTATGAGCACGTTCAGTTTAAGAGTTGAAGAGCCAAAGCAGGGAAAATTGTTGCTATCTGTACGGACGTCAAACACAAGAACTTTAAGGAAACACCTTGATCGTAATAACACAGAAAATTTAGTGTTGGATCTGAACTAGTATCACTGGTAAAAATGATTTGAATGAAGCATTGAATATAAGAGAGTTAGTGATGTGAAGGGAGCTGCAGCAGATGACATTAAACAAATCGCACACCCTTAAAACCCAATGACATGTTACCGGGGAAATAACTTTTAGATATTCTAAACGAAGCTTTTGACAGAGATCAGTCAAACACAAACCATGAGACGATTTTCTGTTTTATAACGAGTTCTTGGTCCACTGATATTCGAGACAGTGCTTTAGTCTCAAACAATCAATGAGAAAACTGGAAGGCAAAAGAAGCAGCAATAGAAGGCCTAGAAAGTATCCCTTTGGTGTATTTGGTGGCTATCTAGAGAAGTAAAACCAATTCTTCTATGCTGGTGGAATTAACTATTGTATTTTTCTATCAGGACCATCAAACACTAATCACTGACACTTTGCTTCTCTCTGAATTCCATTCCTATAATACCATTTCGAGGATCGATGTGGGTAGGCCTTCAGCCAGTTTAGTTCACTCAAGGGTATCTTCATTTTACCTTGGATAGTGTCATTAAATGGCTATTCATCATTTATCAATCGCAATGCGATTAATATTAAGAGAGAGAAGAAACATTTTGAAAAATAATTTAAAATGTTTTCAAAATTTCTCCACCGAAGGAAAGTGAGGTTGAAGAGGAGCTTACCTTGACCTTAAGGATATATCAAATAAGAAGTTTATTCGATAGAAGTAGCACCTCTCAGCTGGTAAATTGGTATATCCCTTTGGGCACAATGAGCCTCTCTGATCCCTATCATTTACCAAACTCTCACCTGGGACTTCAAGCAAATGAGACAGACATTAGCGGCAACACCCCGATAAACCACTCGGCAGGCCGTTTAAACAAAATTGAGGATAACCGAGGTCTAAGAACCTTTGGGAACCGACGCACAATGACTGTTTTTTAATGATCAGACTAGACCTAATGCCTGGTTCAATGGCCACAAAGGAAATCTGTTAAAATGATTGGGATCAATGGATTCCTGGATTGCATCTACATCTAAAGAATGACAAATGATCTACTAGGGAGCTACTGACAACCATGAACAAACACACTGCTGTATTGCAGTGTCTTTGGCTGTGTACAGGCCAGAGATGCTCTCTCAAAAAGACCAAGTAACGCTGGGAGCATTAAGTACATTAGGCGTGCATGAAAATTCATTATATGATGGGGTAATGTCTTCCCCAAGCAGCCAATCAGTAGTAACCATGCAAGAGAACCCCATGAGTGACTTGGGGCAGATTCACTGAACAAGTAAACTTGAAGGATGAATAATTGAAAATTATCAGAATAGGAAAACATTTATGTTCAAGTTAAACTAAAACGATGAGGAGCGAGCAGAAAACAATAAAAATACTCCGAAAGCATGGATCAAATTCGGAAACGAGTGACTGACCTGTGTTCGTACTGCTTGTAGAATTAGGTCTAAATTCGGATCGTTATCCATTGCGGAGTTCGCACAAAACGTGAGTGACAACTGACCGGCATAAGTGGTGAACGCCACACTCAAATCCCGACACAACGCCCAGTTAGTTGTGTCAGCACTGTTAGACGTTGAGTGCCCAACTGCATCTCCATTAATCAGGGTCAAATCTCCAGCCAGTCGAGGCGACGGCATCCAAGTGTCGATGCGTATCACGGGCGAACCGGCAATATAAACTAGACCTGCGTTTGCGTTTGTCAAATGACGTGCTAACGCTCGGAAACTCGTGCCTAATCGTGGAGGGCAGACAAGGGCACCACGAGGCAATCGTCTGCGCAAGCGACGTCGAAGTGAGCGGGCTTCAGCTGATTTACTTGCCAAAGATGACATATACGCCAAACGTCGTGTTGGGGGCATCTGATAGGTGACACTGGGGTCGTGCTCTTTTGGCTGAGTGTGACTGCTAAATGGTGAAACCACTTCAACACCGGTAAAACTAACAGATGCTTTGGCTGAACCCCCAAAATTTGCTTCTAACCACCCGGCCATTGGATGAGGCATCAGCGTGTACAACACTGTTCGTGCCCAAGCCAAACAAAATGGATCTACGGAGTTGTTCAACTCGATCAAACGCTGTCGCGTTTCCCACAAACGAGGTAGCATACCTTCGGTGTTGATAGGCAGACAAATATCAGCGAGCACGTGGCGTCCCGGACAAAGTGTGTTAGCGGTGGTGGGTGGAGTCCCGATTGCGACCATTCGGTGCTCGTTTCCTATCAGACCAGTTTCCACCAGACTCTCTGATTGTGGACAACGTAGAGCAGGGTTAGACCCATTCAGCGTAGTACGATATCGTTGAGAGCCAGGCATGAGACGGGATATTCCGGGACAAGGGGAGCCGTCACAAGGTTGTAAACCCAACTGCTGTCCGGTTGAACCACGCTGCAGCGAATTCAAAGTGCACAACGGTAAAACTGGCACTTCAACGGAAAGGAAGGAGAGCAAATCTGGTGGATGTTTCAGTCCAACAGTCTACAGGCAAAGGAGAGAAACCAGGATCGAAAGATGAATGAAAACATGGCAAACCGAGGGTAAAAATGGGATAAACGGTTGATAAAAAGTAATCAGTTAAAAGTAAGCCCACAGGAGAGGAGAAAAACGTTTGGCAGAATAAAACTAACAACAACAGGCGTGCACGTCAATGTGTTATCAGAGAGGAGAAGAAGCAAGAGAGACAGGATGTCATTTGCAGTTATTATAGGCATATTAGAATCGGTTATCAATTCAATGTGGCATGTGATAGTTCGACCAGTTTTACTTAACGACATAAGTACACCAAAGGTAGAAAGGATAAAACTATACTGAGTAAGAAAAAGTTTGAACGTAGTGCAATTTATCTGCGCAGGTGGCATTCATCGAGAAAAAAACACTGCTAGAATACTCCCTAGTAGATCAAATCTGATGACTAGAGGATAACTCGGTGTACTACTGATCTTTGACTGCTCAAATGTATGAATGTTACATAAAGCAGTAGGAAACAATAACGACAGTTCACTTGACCCAGAAGTAAGAGCTTGCAAAAAATATCAATAGACAACATACACATCACACTTTTTCATTTTTACTTCCTTTTATTGAATACACGGTGATGCAAATTTCAAGGGGGAAGCAGTCAACCAAAGGGCTCCCACATACAGCATACAATAGGGAAAGTCAGGCGGTGGCGGTGGAATTAGAACACACGTTCTCCAGGGTGATGATTTGGTGGCATTACCACCAGGCCACCACCGCCCATTACTTACTTCGAAATTACCAAATCTCCACCGCTGGTGTCAGCTGATAACGAATTTCAAAATAGTGAAAAAAGTTATGCAGCGTCTGGAATGAACCAATGTGTGCTCGCTTCACATTCATCGTCATAGAGATAACAATTCAATTAAACAAAAAATTATTGAAAAGTAATCCTTCGTTTGGAGTTATTTTAGCTTTAGAATATTCAACACTCAGTATGCATGTCGAAATGCGTTCCAATCTGCATTCAGCAACGCTTCTTTAAAGAACATCATCCGATTAGGTTTCATGTTTAGATGTTTATTGTACTGACTCTCCACAAGAAAGAATCATGTAGGTTCAGATTTTTTGTTCCTTACGAAGGAAGTTAGATCAAGTACCGATGAGGGTGAAAAACGGAAATCCGTTAGCTTTATTTTTCTCCAACTATTGATAATTGTTAGCTTAACCCGGTTACACTTAGTGCTCCGATCAAGAAAAGCTGCAAACAAGTACATGATGAAATGGAGATAAGTTACATGCACCAAACAGCGAAAAGAGCGTAACACACAATCACGAAATGACAAACAACAGAATATGGTACGGAAGATGTTAATGGGCCGAGCCAATTTAGGTTTGAGAAACACGAGATGATAAAATTTCATATTACCAACGGTTAAGCAGGAATCCGAGTTGTTGATTTTAGTTAAGTAATGTACATAATGAGAGTTCATCACAAAACCTGTGCACAACACCGCCAGGAGTAACGCATTCATCACTGCGTAAGTAATAATGCGAAGGAGTACAGCGAACTGGGAAACATCGTAAAGTCACAGAGAAAACCTATTTTAAGGTATGCAACAAAGTTTCGAAAACAACAATCTGGTATTGAAAGAACGAAAACGACGTCCAGTGCGCTTCCCAGCTTGAAAACGTTTGAAAATCATATAAAATCTGAGTGATCGCAAGTGATTTAGGCTGTTTCCCACCACCCCCCGTGTTATCGATTTGAAAAGCAGTATCAGATCTAACGAAACTTGTGTTGCGCAGCAAGAGGCCGGTGGTTCTTTTTCAATGATGAAATTGGATTCTGGGGGAGTGAAAAGAACAACCACGGCTACTTTTGAAAAATGCAAGTCCACTTTTAAGGGGATTTAGCCAGTGACTGCATTGAGAATGTCCCATCGATTGGTGATGAAACGTTTGCAATACAATTGCCAAGCTTCCCGAACACCTGAACACAACGATGGAAACGGTTATCACAAAAGAAAGCCATATTCATCTACTTATCTATCTATCTATCTATCTATCTATCTATCTATCTATCTATCTATCTATC